GGATGGAATTAGTGGGATGGAATTCGTCAGTCCGTCAATGTAAAATCTAGCTTCTGTACTCAAGATAGTAGATTTAAAGACTAATTCTGCTGTAGAAGAAGAAAGATTGTTCTCTGCCTCCCACTCTTATCTAAATTTTTATTACCCTTTTCCCCTGGTAATTTTGTGCTTTTTACCAGTTGTTCTTAAAAGTATAGCTTGCTTCTGAAACCTTATATTTTTATCCCTTTTTTCTCCAAACTCAAATCAAACTGCTTCTCTGTGCCTAAGCCTGTATGCCATCGCCATTATACTACAGCTTTCTGCTGGTTTTATTCTCCTGCTTTCTAAATTCTTGCACATGTTTGGCTGTTACATCTCTTATGGATCTCCTTTCGTTTTGATGCTCTTGATGGTCTTTCTTTCAGTGGGTTCAGTCTCCTCCCAGCTCTTTCAGCTTTTCTTCTTTGATGTCTGTCGCTCGATGACTTGACTCACTTAATTTTAACTCTGTGTAAGTTACTCATAAATCAATCTTCTCAGTCTTGAATAATTTTCTCCAGCAATGTTTTTCGCTTGTCGTTTTGTATTTCTTCTGTAACCTTATCACAGAGGAAAATGCAATATGGCTCCAGCTCTCTGGAGGATGAGTTGAGGGGCATGTTTCTGTGGTTGCTGATGAAGTTACTTTTCTCCTCCTATGTAACTTCTCTATGCCAGCCTCAGTGGAAGTTACTGTCACCATAGCAAAGCAAAGAAGTGGGAAAAAGTCTCTGTCTCTCCTGATAGAGTTCAGCTTGAACTGCCAGAGAAGGTGGCCAGGGACAGCAAAGTTGTGGGCCGTTTTGTTCCATTCTGCCGGCTCTGCTGCCAGGGCAGTAATCTGCTTCGTAGGCAAGGTAACCAGCAGCTGGGTGGGCAGCATTGCAATCTGCTGCAGCTGTTGGCTTTCATAAGGGTTGGTGTGAGTCCCTACAAGGTTTATGTCAATAGTCTTGACTACTAATTATTTAATGTTTTAATCTCGTTTTTTCGAGTACCATGAAGCAAGAGGCTGCTTTTGTTTCTTTGTCCCTTCTGTCTTGCTTCTTTATTTAACTTAGTTTTCTAAAATGTTTTTGTAGACTAGTAAATGCAAAATATTTCTGAAAAGTAAAGCTTAAATTGAGCGTAAATTTTTTTTTTTAATAATGAGAATTTAAAAACATAAGGAGTTGCATTCATGAGTCAGGATCTGCATGGGGTATTTTTACTTACAGATCTCAATATAAACAGAGGCAAAAATAATACAAAATTTGTCATTGTTTTAGAGGAGCAAAAACATACTCAGTGTAGTGAAATGATACACATTTTTCAAAATATAGAACTGTTTTCATTAATAACATTCTGAAATTAAATAAGCATTTAAAGTTTCAGAATAGTTTAAGAAAAAGAATTTTGAATGTTTCCAATGTTAGATTTTCCTTGTGTAAATTGATAGTGTAAAATTTCACTTTATAAACTGTGAAATGATCAGTGATAGCTTGAACATGAAAAATACAGCACCAGTTATTAGACATTTCAGAGGTCTGATGAAAGTGTTCATTTCCAGCTAGATCATGTCTAAGAATTTAGCTGAACATCAATATTTATATTTAGGTAGTGCAGGAGTTTGAATCATACCTTCTTTCAAGTTCTAAATATGGACCGTGTTTACATTAATGAATCATAAGCATAGAACTTAGAGCTGAAATAAAATCTTTTTCTCTGGAGGTGCTTAAATCTACGAGCCGAATCTTGGCTCATACTTGCAGTTCCGAAGAGCTGTGTGTTTGAAAACAAAGACAAAACATTAAAAAAAATTCATCTGCACTTCTTGCAGTTTCTTGTGAGAGATCAAAATTAGTATCATGGAAGTGAATAAGTTGATCACTTCTTATTTACAAAAAGAGAACATTACTACGTTTACATTGCCTTGTGCATTTACTGTGCAATTATTCTGGGTAAATCTTGTTCATCATAAGTTTGAAGTTTTATTTCTTGGCACTTGTAATTTGTTTGCTTTTAAAAAAGTCCCAGCCTTTTTCATAAAAGTCTACTCTGATGCGTAGTTTTTTGGACTAAGCATACTGTGTATTAATTGCATGGTACAAAGAAGCTGATGAATAAATGTCCCTTTACTCTGTGCATATGATCATTTCTTCATCAGTTCAAAACGTGTGGAAGTTCTCTCAAAGTCAGGCTCTGATCACTTCTAGTTGAATACATTAAGTGAAATCAAAATGGCTCTCTAAGTTTTGTTTATATATTAATTATTGCCCAATGTCTATGCTGCTTACTGTTTCAAGAGCAACTGTGGTGGACAGAGAACAGTGTGTTAAAAGAAGCAATGGTGGAAGACAAGCAGGGAAGAAATCTTAGCATGCTCGGTGTACAGCGTAAACACATTTGTGATGACAGAAGCTCTTCTGGAAGCTTGGCTGAGAAAAGATATACAATTTTTGGCATTCATGCTCTTACTTAAAATATACAGCTTTGCACCATAAAGTAGTACTAGAGTTTGGGCAAAAGATCTTATATTGAAAACTGTAGTACACGGTGGTTTAATATGGTTTTTGGGAGGAGGGAAGGGATTGGTAAGTTCCAGTTGTTGTGAGTGAAGAAAAGCATCACAAATACCAGACATTGACTGGCATTGATTTACAATACTTGGACCACATCATTGTTTTGCGCGCTGTGTCCAGGAGCCTGATCTGGCAGTCAGAGTGGGGAAGTATCTTTTTAACACTGGTGGCATAATTTGGTGTAGTAGTGGACAGATTCTGTTTTGCAGGTTTCATTGTCAAGGGTAGGTTCTTTTGAACATGTTTTAAGTTGCTGCTTTTTACTCTGGAAGTGGTGCTTTAGATTATTTTCATCTGTTCTGTCTATCTGCCTGATTGTTTTTAAACTGCAATATAGAACCTCATTAAGTTGAACCAGTCCATGAATGTGCCCTAGCTTTATGTGGAAAAATGTAATTGCACAAGACTAGTATTAGAAGTCTTAACTGTAAGTAGCCTGAAGTAAAAGCAAACATTACTTTTGTTTTATTATATCTTTGATATTTCACATGCATCTTTAGAGGACTGCATGTGATTGCATGGCTTTTGCATATGTAATGCTTCATAATACAAATTTCCAGGAGCAACCATAATTGCTAGCCTGAGGTTTTTAGCTCAGATCTGAAGTAAAACTAATCTTAGGTGGGAGAGAGCTGGTACTTTCTGGTGGTAAAAAGTACAAATTTGTATCTGTGTCTTGGGAAGAAAACCAGAAATAATTAGACTGTGTTGAAATGTTTTTATTAAATTCTACAGTATGCATAGAAATTAGTAAAACAATAGCAAATTCTCATGAAGCAGACCTAATCTTCCTCTGTGTTTATTATTTTGAAGACCTAACTTCAGTTATAAGCTTCAGAACTTCAAGATTACTGTATGCTCTTTGCCTTCTGCTTTTCACATGATAGCTGGTAGCATTGCCTGGAAATTGTTTTCTGTTGTCACGGTCTCCTCTATTCGAAAAAAATCCTGGAGTAGTCTAATGGCAGTGTCATACTTTTCTAAAACATCTGCATTATCCTTGAGAACATACAGTTTCTGGTCATTTGTGTACTCAGTCAAATATTATCTGCCTTTTATTAAGTAGCAAGTAAACTGGCATCGGAGAAATCTAGCTATCTTCTGTTCTTTATTAAGGAGTTTATTCTTAATCATTATTGTAACTGTTACAACAGATTCATTAGTACAGTCACTGATGTGATACCTTCTGATATGATCCACGTCAATAACGTTGATGTGTTCTGCTTTGTCCTAAACATCTCAACATTTTCCAAAATGCTTTATTTTTATTATCAGAAAGGTTATCAATTTGCGAATTACTTCTGCTATTCATACTACAACTTCTGTAATATTGACTCTTTGGGAAAAAATAGCAGGTCAAAATGTACAATATTCAAGTATTCAGGAGCAACTACTTGAAAACAGAAGCAACTGAAAGCAGTAGATAGAATTAGGTGTAGGGCTGTTGCTGGTATTCCTGCTATAATGTGTACTTTTCACTGCAATAGTGAAAGCATTACTTAACCATTTTCCACCAATTTAAAAGGTATTACAAATAATGAAGACTTTTCAAAATAGTAAAGAACTTGGAGTTCTGTGTCTAGACAAAGCTATAAATTTTAGATTATAGCTGAGATTTTTTTTTTTTTAGAGCCTGAGGAGAATGAGCTTTCTAACATCCCTTGACTTTCAAGATTTTTTAATTTCTGCAAGTTCATAAATTATTTTATTTTTAAGACTGAACCTTTTGTCAGGCTTTTCTTTGAAAAACCTGTTGTTCAAGCTATGCATGAACTGGAGAAGCAACAGAGAGAAAGGAGGCAAAACACGTGACAGGTGGTTGATAAGCACCTGCCTAAACCAAATCGTGTCAGCAGTACGTTCCTCAATCTCAGTCATGAATTCCACAATAAATTAAGAATTCCTAAGATAATTTGGAGCTCATATGAAAGGGATCCAGTAACAAGGTAAGCTTCCAGAGCTCCTCTGAAGTGAATGGTTGGGCAGCAGCTTGATGTCAGGCATCTCATGCTTGAACAGAAGTACTGGAAGATGCTTTATTTGTTTCATAGGACTGCTTACTGTATCAGAGAAACTTGTTATCTAGGACAAGTAGAATGATGTTCTTACGTTAGGAGACTTAGGTTTTCACCTGTGCATAATTCTTGTAATTTCAAGCTAACGTGCAAAGCACTTGTTATTTTTGTGTGTATGAAGACACTGTTCTGTATCCACATTTTACTGGATGCATACATCGTGTATACGAAAACATACACTTTATGGAGTTGTTTCATCAGTTGGACATGTGTTAAAATTATATACAAGAATTCAGTCTACATGCATCATGCTAGTAGAGTCAAGCTATAAATAATATCCTCTGCTTTGTTTTTCATAAACTTTTCAGATTCCAAATAATATGCTGGCTATTAATGTTTCCAGGCTTTGCTCTCCGTACATGATACTGTTGCGCAGAAGAACTACGATCCTGTCTTGCCCCCCATGCCTGATGATATTGATGAAGAAGAAGATTCAGTTAAAATAATCAGGCTCGTCAAAAACAGGGAACCACTGGTAAGTAACCCTGTCTTTTGGTTTGCTGTTTTGTGTTTGTGCGCAGGGTGGGAAGTGTTCAGATTATGAACGTGCATGGGTGATATTAACTTGAAATGTGGATAGACAGACATTACGCATGTTTATTCATAACAGTCAATAATATACTTGTGACTTCCACCATTTGCAGTCATTATTAGTAAAGCATATGAAATAAATAACAAGAATTTATTCATTCATGGCATTTGAGCATTATACATGTGGGCCAGTCAGAGCATTTAGATCAATAATATATTTGTCTTTTATCTTGAATTCAAATCATGAACTTGGTTTAAAATGAGAGAGGTAGAATGAATCCCCAAAGAAATCTTGACCTTTGTTGTGAACTGTGCCTGTTAGCATTCATGTAAAAAAAATGTGACCTTTCGATACACTGAAAAGCATAAAAACATATTTTAAAATGCTTGAATTGAAATCTGGGCAAATTTAAGATGTCTGTTGTTGTACTTTGGATTATGAATACTAGAAAGTTAATATCTTCATGGGGATATCTGGAAAAATGAAAGGACTAAACCTAGGCTGTATAACAAGAATATTAAAATTTACTGATTTGGTTATTTTTATTTGCTGTAGAGGGGGAGTCATCTTGTATAAAATTTAACTATTTTCTTTTTCTCCTGCAAACCAGTAAGAGCTTTGTTTTATGTTATACTGGATATTTGTTTTAATGGATAGCAATCCTGAAGAAATATCTGCAAAGTTACTTTGAGAAAGTCATGAATTTGTACTTGAGATGACAGTGGGAGAGCGATGCCTGTGTTAAACATACAGGGGTAGCTTGTCCCACAGTAGATATCTTACTGCCACTCTTATTCTTGATGGATTTCTGGCATCAGTAAACAATAAATAAGTTTTGGTATTGACTGACTGTAGGTTCCCATGGGCATAATTATGAGTTTGACCATGTGGAAAGTTTGTACTTTGTTTTAACACATTAAACGTTTTTTTCCCCAAAATATTTAAATCACAGCTTTAAGCTTTCCTTTTTTTTATCAAAGAAATTCTTTGTAGAAGAAAGCAAATTTACTTTAGGATTTAGTACCAGAAAGAGTATTAATTCTGAAAGGTGTGAAGAAATTTGAACATACAGTATGAAATGAGTTCTGAGCAGCATATTTTTAGTGTTCATTGAAAACACCCTTGTGTTTTCTTGAATTTGTCAGGAAAATCGTAATAAAATCTTAATTTATGTAGTTTCATATTTCAAACAAGATTTGGTACTAAGATTTTTGTGAGTTAAATACTGTAAGTTAATAGTATCTCAAAATGGGCTGGATAAATAGCAACTCTGAAAACAAAACTGAATTTCTGAAAACTTAGGAGATACATACATTGTAATTTAGCTTTTGAGATTTTGAGCCCTCTTAAAGGGACAAATAGAACTGCCTAAGCCGAAGGTTATCCTTGGACTGTTCCTCAAGGTCCACTCCTGCCAGCTCACTCTGGTGGGATACTGAGCTCTTCCAGATATCTGTGTGTCTGTTGTGATTTAGCCCCAGCTGGCAGCTCAGCCCTGCGTAGCCGCTCGCTCGCTTTCCCCAGTGGGATGGGGGAGAGAACCAGAAGGATGAAAGTGAGACAACTTGGAGGTTGATATCAAGGTAGTTTGATAGGTAAAGCAAAAGCCATGTGTGCAAGCAAAGCAAAACAAGGAATTCATTCACTACTTCCATGGGCAGGCAGGTGTTCAGCCGTCTCCAGGAACGCAGGGCTCCCATGACAAGTAACTGTTACTTGGGAAGACAAACGCCATCGCTCCAGACATCCCCACTTCCTCTTTCTTCCCCCGGTTTCATTGCTGAGCACAACATCATATGGTGTGGGGTATCCCTCTGGTCAGCTGGGGTCAGCAGTCAGCTGTGTCCCATCCCAGCTTCTTGCGCACCCCCAGCCTGCTCACTGCTGGGCAGTGTGAGAAGCAGAAAAGGCCTTGATGCTGTGTAAGCACTGCTGAGCAATAGCTAAATTGTGTTATCAACACTGTTTTCACAAATCTAAAACATAGCACCATGTGAGCTACCATGAAGAAAATTAACTCTATCCCAGCCAACACCAGTACAAGCTCTTAAAAGGTGCATCCACTCATAGCACAACTCTTGTGCTAACGAGGTAACAGAGAGGGGTTTTTTTTAGAGCTTTGTTTTACTAGAGAGGACGGCAGCCATGGAAAATATAAAACATACGAGAGAACTCAGTTCTTCAGTTTAAGACTGCTTAGTTTATTTACCAAGGCAAAAACAGCCTTAGAATGGAATCTGTGATAGACCTATTACTAGGAAGAGGCAAAGGGAGGGTGCTAATTGCAGCCTACAGCTACTTGAGAGCAGGGAGCGCACAGGGACAGTAGAGTCAAACTCTTCTCAGCAGTGAAAGGTGCTAAAACACAGGGCAATGGCCACAACTTGCAGCCCTGGGAGGTTTAGACTGAGAATTAACAGAAGCATTTCATTAGTTGGGAAGTCCAGCACTGGAGCAGACTGACCGGAGAAGTGGAATCTCCAACCTATACCATAAGACAATGGCTGACCTGATCTGGCATTGACAGTAATTCTGTCCTGAGCAGGAGATTGGCCTGAATGACTTCCAAAACCTGCCCTTTAATCAACATTTCTAAGATTGTACCTTACCTGTATGGGAAAGGAGTATTTGTGGTCTTTCCACATCCCCAGCCTATCTTGATGTTTTATTTTTGTTGGAGAAGAGCTTTTGCATGTTACTTGTTCTCCAGGAAAACTTTGAAGAATAGTGTATAGTGTCCTCCTCCTCCTCTTCCATAACCCACCTTCCATCGATTTTAACATTATTAATGTTAAACATTAATTTCTTTGTGGCATATTTTTAGTGACTTACTGTGACACCATCACCACAATATAAAACAAACCTATTATTTGTGGTTTTGTCTTCCCTAGATTACCCCCCCCTCCCCTTAGCTAGGTTGAGAAGAAACATGAATAGTAATTCAGATAAGGTTTTACCAAAATATGGCACGGCAGAGTAAATAAAGACAGGTTGATACTAGATGTATTAGATCTACTGTGTTTATGCTTCCTGAAGTCATTTTACTAAAGAAAGGATATGCCGTGATCTGTGTTTAGTAAACTATTTAAAATTTGATTTTCTATTCATTTCCATGTCTTTTTAATGGCTTTTCCTTCAGAGCTTGTTCTAAAATCCTGGATATTCTCAGTACAGATCAAAGAGTCTCTGCTTGTTCAGTTTATCTATTCACTATTCTCCAGTCAAAAAGTCTGAGTTCCGCTTGCATCATTATATCAGGATTCTTGCTACTGAGCTTGGATTGGAGGTACCATACAAAATTTTTTCTGGGATGGAGATTGTCTGGTTTCTTGACTTGAAGATGCTGAGCTCTTTGAACTTTTCTTTCACCTCAGATACATTCTCATTCTCTATTTGTACACAAACAGTAGATGTTGTTTTTCTGCAAAGCCGTAAGCTTTACATCAGTTGCACACCCTGAACGTTCCTGAATTGGATATCTCCTTTGGATGACTTTCAGCAGTACTCTCTGCGAAGCAGATTAGGCACTTTTAACTTCTTTGGAATATATCTACTGACCATGTTTATATAAAACTGCACCACATTTCCGTTTGTACTTGTTTGTGCTTTTCTCCGAATTGAGCACCTCACTGGTGTTCTGAGCCGGTGTTAATTCCATATTAACGAAGCCTGAGTTCCTAGGAGTAATCATCTCAAAAGAGAGGGAAGCACATGGTTTGTGGGAGGGCATTATGTTTGCCAGATTTCATTAGTTCAGAAGTCAGTGCTGAACTTTGCTCCAGTTTTTTGGAAGAGATTATTTAAACTTTTTGCTAATTCTTCCACAGTTTTTTGTTGTGGTTTGTTTTTTTTTTTTCTAAATGCTCTGTTAACAAATGCCATTCTAGCAGTGTCTCGCTCAAGCAAGGTGAAATTGTGTTAGGAGATTTTAGCTGAATGAAGTAATTTAGAACATCTCTGAACCTTAGGTAAAGAAAAGTAGAAACATCTCTTTTCAGAGATAGTCCAAAATTCACCTGGCTATAATTAGGCTTTTTATCAGATAGCTTGGAGGGTTTTTACTTATGCCTACCTCTCCAGGACTTTTTCAGCCACTGCCATGTTCCTGGTTAGCATTCCTGATATCTGAGATGTACAACCACGCTACCAAGAGTGCAGTTCCTGACCTCTCACTACTTCCAGCTCCCAAATGATATTCCAGGTTTGTTACAGCTGTCATGCAGTTATTCTGAATAGGATGCTTCTTCACTTTAAGATGGTTGCTTCTTTGTCATACAGATTCATTTCACGTAAATTTAGCCATTTGAGAACTAATCTCTGTGCTGTGTCTATAGTCAAGAGAAAAATAGGCAGCTCCAGAGAATGAACCATGCTATCTAAGATGCTTACCTTAATGGAAGGATGATTCATTTGCCAGATCTGCCTATTTCTTTTCATTAACTATAGGAAGAGCCTAGACATCTAGCTTGAACTAGATACCTGATTTCCATAGCTGAACTTCGGTGAAATGAATTGTGGTGATTTAAAACAGTCATTTACATATTCTGCCCATGCAGATTCTACAGCTCTTGGTCACCTCTCGCTCTGAGTCCCCGTAGCTCTGTTCTTATTAGTGAATGAACCCATCTGTTTTATAGGTGGAATTAATTTGGATGTATGGACAACTTTAGTGTGCATAGTCTACGTGTATGTGGGCATCAGCTTTTAAATAGGTCTTCATTATAAAGTAGGTAACATATTTGTATTTGCATTTTCAATAGAGCATTAAAATAAGGCTTATTGAAGTACTTGTTTGCATTCAACATCTGCATGTGCTTTTGTTTAACAGAAAGGTATGCAAAAATCATACTGGTGTTTCAAAGTCTCTTATTAGTGATTTATTTTACAGGCTAGTCTGTCTTTCTTTAAAAAGAAAGGGTTGTAATGTTTATATGCTGGTACCAGCAGATAAATGGATGAACTAATAAAGCTCACATCTGTGAAACCCTGAGTGATGCTCACCAATCAGTGTTACTACATTAATACTGAAAAAAGAACACCCAAAAGCAACCCAAAAAACAGTGAAAGAGCATTGCTTGAAGAAGCTTGTATTATTTTTAGTGCTTTTGCATGGTATACCTTTAAATATTTTCTCAGTCTGATCACCATATGGCTCTCAAACTCCTTATTTTTCCTTTTAAAAGTATTTTAAACTGAGCTATGCTATTACATCTGTATATGTCTCATTTAGGGTAACTTACACTTTTGGCTAGCAACACTGAAAATATTTTCCAGCTCTCAAGGTCCAGTCTAACCTTCTTCCATTTTTAAAGCTCTAAATGAGGAGCTGCACTGCACATGTAACTGAAAGTACTGGAGCTGAACATCTCATAAGGAGAAATTCTTGCCAGATTATATATACCTCATAGTTTAAACAGGGCTGGCAGCAGTACAAGAGAAGCTGCTTTTTCAGAAAATCAACTATTCGGGTTTTCAAAAAGAAATCCACTTGTGTTTGATTTTTTTTTAAGTGTTCTGAATTGTGAGGGAAGGGAAATTTAAGGAACTCCTTTTTTCTTTGTGTACTATAGGTACAGCAAAAATACATAATTCAAATAGTGCGTTTCATGGGCCTGCCCATTCCCTTTGGGTTTGCCATAGAGGAGTTATTGACAGAGAGCTAAATTGGGTTAAATAATTTCCCTGTAAATTTGAACTTGATTTTGTGCTTTGTTTGGAAATTCCAGTTTACCTGTTATCTTTACTGGGGCATCTTTCAAATCAGCTAATCTGTGCTAGGGAAATTCATTTTGTCTGAGTAGTGAGAATCACATAGAGCATGAAGTGACTGTTCCACTTGGACGTGAGCCTTATTGTTACTTCCAGACGTTGTCTGGGTCAATACTGTGGTCTTCAATTGCACAGAAGTTTTCTTCTACAGTCTGTCTAGAAACAAGGTGAAGTGAAGTACTCATTTTCAGACATCAGCGCTGGGCGGGGGTAGCTGGGTGGTCACAGTGGAAGGCTGTCGGTCATCGCTTGCCTTTTGCATTCAGTGACATTTAATCGTGTTGACTTCTGGGTAAAAGGCATAAAGCCTTTCTGTTCAATATGCAATAAATTCAACTTGCATATAAAAAATTATAAATTAATCTCCCCCTTTTTTTTTGTGCTGCATTTTCATCTTAGAGGCAGAGGAAAAGGGAAACAAGTTTAGTCAGTAAAAATGTTAACTGTGGTAAAATGTCACCCCCGTTATTTATTTGTACATATTTCACCTTCACATCCATGAAATACTTAAAAATTGAAGTAGTGATAAACATGATGTTCATGTTTAATCTAAACTCATATACAAAGCTAGCTGTCAAAGCAATTTAATTATTCGGGATCTTTATGAAGTACTTCTTTACCTTACTTCAAGTGCAACACTTCTCTGATGGAAGGAAATTCTAACCACTGTCTTGTACTCAGAGGTGAAGTAATACTGTTCCTTCACTAATCAAAAATATGGAAATATTCAGAGAATTGACTTATTTGCCAGAGTCCTAAACATCTTTGTTGATGAACAAAGTGAGAGCTATCGCAGGTAGCCAACTACATTGACATGGCAAAGTAATTGTGTGCAGATAAAAAGCTGTTGGGCAGGAGGTACTTTTTTGTGTTGTTTTTTAAAAATACCAGACCTAATAACCTTTTTGGAGGTGATTATACTTATCTAGCTAAAATCCCCCTCATTATTCTGTGGATTCTGTCTTCCAGAGCAGCATTTCCCCCCTCGCTCCTTCCCGTCTGCTTGAAACGACTGGGACTGGCACCGCGGCTTCGGCAGCGGCTCTGTGTCTGGCTTCCCTTCCCCTTTCCTCTTGTCACTGCCACTGCCGGCTGCTTCCCCATCCCCCTGTGCCTCTTCTCAGCGTACCCTCACAGTTCCAGTTACAAAGGCATTTTTCTCATCTAGACAGCTGTTTGCTGGAAATTTAACTACATGATGTCATTTTACCTAAATGCCTTGCCGCTGTGTTTGTGTAATGTAGGAAAACAGTCATGACTAACTCAGGAAATGTTCCACTCCTCTGCATTTCTGTCCCGCGGGTTTTCCAGGTGAGCCCTGATGTGCAGGGGTATTTCTCAAATTTGTATTTGTTTATTGATAGCGTTGTAAAGTAACACTATGACTCGTGGGTACACAGGCAGTTTGGAGCGTAAAGTGCAACTGTTACGAACACAGATAAACTTTTGAGCCCATAGTATGTCATGTGGTCTGTTTTAAGGCACGAAAAACAATTTATCAATTAGTAATAGTTTTGTACAATTTTAGCAGCAGACTCAAGTAAAGTATGCTATAGTTAACATCACATCGCAAAGAAAACTTCTCGTGTCATTTGTCCAAACTGCATGAGTCAGTTCTGAGTGGAAAAGAATTCACACTTTAATAGGATGGTAATAGAACAACATATTTTTTATATTCTTTTCATGAGCAGGTATCATCTCGAGCTTATTCACACATTGATACGTCAACTTTTTGCCGTTTTACACAGCAAATGTTTTTTTAGTGTAGTGAATTAAAATTATGGTACGATTAACCCACTAATGTTTTGGGTTTTTTTTACAGGGGGCTACTATCAAAAGGGATGAACATACTGGTGCAATTGTGGTGGCCAGGATAATGCGTGGAGGAGCTGCAGACAGAAGTGGTAAGGTGTTGCTGTTTTCCACTAGCCATTCACGTTCTACAACTCAGGAAAAGATGAGATAAAACGGGAGCTTTTTGTACTCACGAAATACATCACTATCACAAAGAAAAGTGTTGGTGGTTTGGACAACTTTCTGAAGTGATATTTCAATACTGGTGAAAGTATTCGTGCTGAATTTTTTTCCTCAATTCACTTGCAATCAGGAATGTTTGAGTTAGCAGACACAGGGTTTGTTAAGAGATAACGTAATTTGTTTCCAGTTGAAGACATCCACTTAGAAATTATGGGATATGCCAAAATTACAGCCTGCTCATGGAGGAACTCGGGAAGGCTGAATGATTTTATATTAGTACATCCATTTGGAGTTTCAGCTGGTAATTTTCAAAATACCAACATATCCTTGACTGCCATTGTTTAGTTTGGGATGCTCAGAGTCTGAAAGAACTCAAGCAAGAGGTCCTGGGTTATGCTCTGGAGTGCTTCTTTTCATTGAGGAGAATCTAGGACAGCTGTGTTTCACACTTAGATGGGGTAATGGAGTAAATCTAGATATATATTGTTAAATCAGGAAGTATTTGTGCCACAAATTAGCACTCACAGCCTGAGTGATCTTTGCAGTACTTGCAGCTACGTAGCAATAAGAAAGTAGTACAAGTAGAAAAATAATTGGCACGGACGTTTTTCAAACATCTGTATTAAAGTCTGGAAAAGTCATAGAGAAATGGTACTGGTATTTGGGAAGAAGGAAGCGAGGTGAGTAAACCAACCATCTCAAACTTATCTGTAAAGACAGCAGCTGTTGTTGTCTTCACCATATATTTCTGCTTTTAAGTTAGAGCTTAAAGTGGATGAACAAGGGAGGAAAAAAGCTGAATGTTAGTGGCATCTTTTGTATAACAGGTAGCTACCATTTCACAGCTCCTCTTTGCCTTCTGTAGGTCTTATTCACGTTGGTGATGAACTGAGGGAGGTCAATGGGATTCCTGTAGATGATAAAAAACCTGAAGAAATAATACACATTTTGGTAAATACTAAACATTTTAAGATTAATTTGGGGGAGTTAAGAAAAGTAATTAGACTTACAATTTCTGGTTATTTCTTAGAAAAAAATATATAATAATGCCTTTTCTTCTAGTGCCATTATTTACAAACCTCTATTTTCTTTCTCTTAAAGAATGATTTTTCCACACATTGCATATATATGCAGTTACAGATTACTTGTAAAGAGTTAATGACAGTAATATGGCTATATATATGTTGCAGAATGTTGCAGACCTCCATGTATAATCTACAGTTTTTAAGGCACACCATGATCTTTTGAATTAAAACTACTTTAAATGTATTCATTATTAACACGTTAACTCCATGTGAAAATTAATTCATAATACATGTACTTATTAGAATAAACTGGTATATTAAGATTATATTTTATATTGATTTTCAGTATATAGCCATAAATATGATTACGCTTGCACTCCTCTGAACTATACAATCTCCAAAGCCAGCCTAATTGCTCACTTATGGAGCACTATTGCAAATTAAGTATTTTAGACTTTTCCAGAAGTATTTAATATTTTTACAGCAAAGAAACCAGCGAGGGTCATGATAGATCTTTGTTTGTGGTATAGG